TGCCTGGCTCTGGCTGGGTCAAGGTTGGGCTGGCCTGAAGGACTAGACTTTCTTAAGCTCCTTCTGCTCCAGGTGCTGTGCTTCCCGTGGTGGGCTGGGATGGGGTCCTGCAGCCAGAGCTGCCATCATGGGGTCAGCAGAAAGGGAGAACTGGAGGGTTGCTGCCCTTCAGAGCTCACACTTTCAGGGACATCTTAACCATTGGTATGACAGGTCAACAGAGACAGCCTAGTCCTGGAGGGGGAGGCAGAGCTGGATTCCCTGGCCTCCCTGGAAGAGATTTGGGCACAGAATAAGGAGCTGGGGCACCTGGGCTTTCTGGTAACAGGCTGCTGAATCCCAGGGCAGGATGCTCTGAGCAAGGGTGACGTTACCAGATGGCACAGGGAGGACTGGGAAGAGCTCATGTTGGAACTGGCTTGGTGTGAGCGCTCCCTGCTGTCACTGGTGCATTGAGTGGAGGCTGGGCTGGGGTCTCCACACTGGGGATTCTCACTTCCTTTTGCTGTGCTTTGCTCACCTCTGCTTTCCTGTTTCCCCTGAACACCAAATATTCAGCTCTGTATTGCAAGCAGTCTATTAAGCAAGCAATTCCCAGTCCTGCCTCTAATAAGAAGGAGCTGGGGCTGGGGAGCCCTTTTGTAATGCTCAGGAGCCAGCGTGGCTGTCGGCTGAATGCCTGGCAATTAGATGAATAGGTTTCACTGGGGCTTTTGAGTCTCTGGCTTCACAAGGCACAAAGCTTTGTTTAAGGTTGATCAAGGGCAGCTCATCATCTGTCTCGCTGGCTGTCAAATGGGAGCTAATTGCCTTGTAATGTGCAAGTGATACAGGCGTTTGTGGGAGGAACTGGCTTGTCAGAGATGTGACAGCTGTCAAGGCTCTCCCACCTGGCTGTGCTCCCCACACAGACTCTGAGACTGGCAGCCCTCCGTGAAATGGAGCTCACTGCACCTCTTCATGCCGGTAGCTGAATCCCTTTGCTTTACGATTCAACCCCCATGCTGTCCTCAAAGAATGAAAAGCCTGTGTCAGCCACAGCATTGCTGCTGCTGGTGCCTCTTTAGGATGTGTCCTAACAGAGAAGAAACCCAGACCCCCTCTCAGGGACTGGGCACATGATGGGAACAGTTCCTCTGGGTTGCTGCATGGATGCTGGTGCAGGAGGGTGTCTGTGGGAAGGGAATGGGTGAGGGTTCTCAGTTGTTTCACTCCAGAGCCCTGCATGGAGCAGAGGCCGTGAGTGACCATTAGACCTGCAGACGATGGTGAACCCACTTCTCCCTATTGGTCCAGACTGATGCCATCAAGCTGAGAGGTAGCACCCTGCTGCTTGGGAGGCCCCTCTCATAGAGCACCAACCAATTAAAGCCTCAGTGATGCACATTTGCAGGGGGAACTGAGCCTGAGTGGCTGATTAAAGGTGTGACTGCTATCCAGATATGCCTCCTGCCTTCCCCATCACGCACATGCAAAAACACAGATGGTCCACTCTGCTCCCCACCCCCTCTATCAAAAACGTTTCCCTCCTAAAGCCCCAGCAGACAATGCAAAGGGCTGGAGGATGTTCTGGAAATCAGCAGATCTCTGTTAGGTTGCATCAGAGAGAGGTGGCAACCAGTCATTTTGAAAACCCCCTCTGTGCTATGCAGGCTGTTGCTTCCTGGTGTTAGCCTGGATTTGGAGCAGCACTGAGCTCAGCATCAGCCATACTGCCAGCAAGGAGCAAGGGTGGCTTGCGGGGAGTGGGGTGAGCCAGGGTGGGAAGAACATGGGATGGAAGCAGCGAGAGAGGGTAGTAGGAAGGAGGGATGGGGCTGAACAGGCAGCCTGTCCCTCCCAGGGGATCTCTTCCAGTCCCTGCCTCATCCTGTGGACTTTGACTGTGATGACCCTGGAGTGCAGACCACTGAAGGGGAGATGTGAGGGCATGGGCATGTCTCTAGGTGGGAAGGCCTGGAGCCAGGCACAAAGGCTGCTGTTGCTCCCCTTCCTGCTCCCCCCTCTGCCCGCTGCTGGGATGGGGCTCTGACCTGGCTCCCACCAACAGCCCACTCCTGCATTCCAGCAGCTTTGCCCTTGGTAGATACACCGAGGCTGCTCTGAACACCCCCTGCCCTCAGCTCTGTGGTTTGGTGCCAGAGCTCATGCCAAGAGCAGCCTGCCCCGCTGGACCTGACCGCGGTGTGCCTGTGTGTGACAGGGCTTGCTGTCTGCCTCCATGCTGCTGGTAGCACTGTATAACCCTGGTAAGATGCTGGACTCCTCCTGCCCACTCTGGTGTCTGCCTGGCATGATGTCCAGGCACCACCATGTCTGGGAGTACCAAGGCATCAATTTTTCTAACAAGTTCCCAAAACTCTTCCCAGGGTGGGACCCCTCAGCTCTTTGTGCCCTGCTTTACGGCTGAGCTTTACCTGGAGCACAGTGGCTGGCCAGGAACCAAGAAGGACACAGACTGCCTTGAAGAAAATGATGCAAAAGTGATGCAGACCAAGTGACTTGAAGCATCACAGAAAAGTAACAGGCTTCTCTTCTGGCAAGGGCCTGCCAACTTCCCTGGGCATCTCTATGGAGCCTGCTCCCACCCCCCAGTGCCCCAGGAGGGCCTCATACCAGCTGAAGTGCTGCAGTGAGAGGAGAGCTGCTCCCCACACTGCAGGTTCACACAGCTGAACCTGTTGGCTCTGCTCAGGCCTTCAGGAGCCATTTGCAGAAGCAGCATCTCCAGAGCAATGCTCCTCCCTGCCGCCCACAGCCCTTGCACACGTTTTCCAGGAAAGGCACAGACCACTGGGGAGTGAAGCCACTGCTGCAGATTACGCTTTGGTAAAGGCAACCAGAGGTGGAGCCTGGCTTCACCAAACATGTCCCCGGGCCAGGGCAGTGCTGGTCTCTGCACCAGGGAGACAGTGCCAGCTAATTTTTGGACGAGACAGAAAAACAGCTCTTACATCTCTTTCCTCCTGGGCTTTCCCAGCACTGTGAGGTCAGAGCAGCTCTTGCCATTCCTTGCTGTCTTAAGCCAGTGACCCCAGCATGCTGGCAAAATTACATCCTGGGGCAAAGCACTTGCCTTCCTTGCTTCCCACCCCAGTGCTGAATGTGTGGGGCATTCACAGGAGCCTCCTCCAGCAGCACTGCAGGTGGGCAATGGTGGTCCTGCTGGGGAGTGCGGGCAGCCCTGACTCTTCCCAGAGGTGCTGGGTGCTCCGGCCATTGGGGAAGGGAAGGCTTGGCATGCAGGAGAGCCAGCTGCGGCCAGACGTTTGGTGAAGAGACCTGCTCTGCTGCGATGCTGGGAGCTTCCTCCTGGGAGAGACGGCCTGGCTGGTGACAAACACCAGCTGAACAGGGCTGCCTGCAGCCTCACCCCTACCCTGGCGGATGGAGTCAATCCTGACTTGCCTCGGAGGGAAAGGCCAGGCTCTTGTCCATACAGTAATTACTAATCAAAAGAGAAGGGCCTGGAATGAATAATGTCTGCATCCAACACCAGGCGAGGCATCTGGAGCTGGGTATAATGCTGCTCAGTGTACTGAGGCTGCAGGGTGCTGGGCTCTAGTGCTCGGGAAGGCTTGTTAGTGCCTTGAAACTCAGAGCAAGACCTGTTTTTACCCCAGACCAGGGACGCTGGGGTCTCTAGTCTATGTACACCTAATTGAGAGGGGCAAATAGGACTTGATGTGTTAGACACCTACGTGGCTGCTGCAATTCTGTCTCTGGGAGAGAAAGCAACTGGAGCCAGTCCAGCCAAAGGATGAACTCCCAGCATCTCACTGTCAGAAGATTTTGAAATCTTCTGAGGGCTGGGTGCACCAGGGTGACACTGTCTGCCCGTTGCTTCCTCTGCCCTGCCTGCAGGGGAAGGGACCGGGGTGCGAATGCTGTGAGCCCAACACACAGCACCACTCTGCCTCTGCACGGAGCTGGGTTGTTGCCTGGATGGCATAGGAGCTGTGCTGCCAAGCCCCACGTTTGGCATGCTGCTGCCTGGGCTGCACTGCTCAGGTCCGGGCTGGCCAGGGTCCTGCCCTCACCTGCTGAAGCTTGGGCCCCTGGATGGGCAGGGTCAGACCTGCCTGACTCTGCCGGGCAAAATCACAAACCCTGTGGATCTGGAGGGGGCAAATTTGCACCATTTACCTTTCCCCCCAGATCCAATCCCCCAGACCTGTTTCCAGGAGTCCTGCTCTGTGCAGGAACCTGCAAAGAAGTTCATGGTGAACCCCAAAGCCTTGTCACACCTCCATCACTGAGCAATGGAGGCAGATGCCTTCTGCCCTCCCTCCTCCTGTCAGCCCAAATTTCTGCCTCTGGCTGAAGGGGCTGCAGAGATCAGGATATGCTCAGACCCTGGGGAAGCTGGTGCAGAGTCCCTGACAGACATTTTTGTTCCCGAGAGTTTCAGACAGAGGTCAAACCTGTCAACTGTAGCCTGGATTGGGCTAATAAGAGACACATAGTGGAGAGGAGGAGGAAGATGGAAGCTATTGATAGTGTAGGCCAGCAGGGATGCTTGCCTGTGCTGCAGGTTCCCGCTGCACCTGCAGCCCCGCAGGACTTCAGGCAGAGAGGGCAGCCAGTGCTCCTGGGCAAGGTGGGCATCCCGTGGGCTGCTCCTGGCCACAGCACTCAGGCTTCGGTTTGGCTTGACTGAGTGAAGACTTCAAGCTCTCCCAGACCTCTGCAGGCCGCATCAGCTGTGCTGGCCAGATCCCGACAATCAGAGCCTGTCTGCCATTTCGGCACCTGCATCCGGAGATCCAGCCCCAGCCATCCTAGCGGCATGACCCAGCTGCTGGCCTCCCTCTCCAGCACAGAACAAGCCCCCATAAGCCCACAAAAGGCTTGGACAACCATGGCTGGAGATACAGGTATCTGAGCGAAGCACCTCACATGCTCGACACCTCCCAGGCGGTCAGCAGCAGTAACCCCTGTCCACGCTGGCCTCATGCCCCTTCCCCTCTGCCTCCCCACTGCACGCCGCTGGCACTCACTGCTGCTGGTGGGCAGGGTCCTGCTGCCGCTGAGGCTGCCTACTGGTGGGGGGGAGATGGAGCTGATGGAGCCCGTGTCCTCTTCCTGGGAGCAGCCCGCCTGGATGGCTCGGAGGTAGCTGTGGCTCCGGGATCGGAAGTAGCTGGGCAGAGGCAGGTCCAGCACCTCCGCAGCAGCTGACTCAGCCTCACTGTAGGTAGAGTCGCAGACCACTTCGTACTGCTCCCCCAGCTCCGGCTCTGGTGCCTGCAGGGGAAGAGGGGCAGATCTAGTCACCCTCTGCCTGCAAGCAGCCCTTTCCCTTCCCTCCTGCTCCTCTCCCTGCAGCCACCCTGCTGCCATTCCTGCGTGGTCCTGCTTACGGCAGACAAGACTTGGAGGTGCAGTGGTCAGTGCTGGTGGGGTGCAGGATGCCCGGGCTCTCTGCTGAGAGAGAGGGAAGAGGGGACTCTCCTTGGAGGTTTGAGGGTCCATGCTTGTGGAGTAGGACTTACCACCACAGTGCCTGTGAAGCACCCTTCAGTCTCTGATGGAGAGGCTGAGAGCACATGAGGCTAAAATCTCTGTCCAGCCTCTGACAGGTCCCTCTGCCCTACCAGCGCAGCTGGGAGACCCCAGCCTCAGCTGCAAGACCCTGCCCGGGCAGGCATGCTCCTCAGTGGGGGTAAATGGCCTGGCCTTACAGCCGGGTGCAGCACAGAGAGAGAAGGTGGGGACGTGTGGGCTATAGAGACAGCCTCCATGCTTGACCAGGGACAGGCTGCCTGGACTGGTTCTAGGTGGCACTATTGGAAATGCATTCTAGCCCCATCCACAGTGGGGGACCAGGAGAGGGCTCGATGGCAGGCTGTGGCAAGGTGTGAGCCGAGCAGGGGCAGCTTTGCTCCCTGCTTCTGCTGCTGCCCCCACCTCCCTCCCACCCATGCTCCTGGCCCTGCCCTGCTCTCCAGTAGCAGCGGCTGGTCAAACTTGGATTTAAGACAGGCTCACCTGGGTTAAACCAGAGCCAGCCTAAAGCAGAGCATTCTGAAATACAGATGACAGATGCTGAGATGGCCCTTCCATCTCTCCTGGCCCTTTCTTTGGCCTCAAGGACAGTATTTCTGCCCAGCATTGGCATCTGCACAAGGTTTAGCTCAAAAAGTTCATCTACTTTCCCGCTAAACCTGACGGTCCCTAACCCCCTGCCAGGGGCAGGGGAACCAAGCTCTCCAGCTGCCCTGCAGTGCCCAGGTTGGGAGCACTGCCTCATTCTCCTCCTCCTCTTTCTCCTCCTCCTGGCCCTGGGGCGTGGGCTGACCCCACAGCCTGCCTTGCACCCTGTCATGGGTGTCCAGGCTGACCTGAGAAAGCTCCATGAGGAAGGAAGAGGGAAACGCCAGTGGGACGGTACCTGCTCTCCATGGGTAAGTATCTGAGGGATAAGTGAGGGGGGTCCAAAGATCTGGAAGAAAGAGTTGGAGAAGGTTAAAGGCCAAGAACAGGGGAGCCCCTCACACAGACAGCCATTGCACAGGGACCGAGGACAAGGGGAGCGGACAGCCTGTCCCCTGGGGCCGCTGCTGCTGACACTTCAGTACAAACTTCAGAGCTCGTAAGATGCCAAGCAAGATGCCGCACAGGCACCTCAGACAGCGGCACAAACACGGCATGGCAAAGCTCCACAGGACACCTCCCAGACGGAGAAAAGCTGCTGATGCATTCAGCCTGTTGTATGCACCATATATCAATATATATACACAGGGCACACACATTGCTGGAGCACCCCTTGGCACACTTGGGTTGCCTGTGGCTGCTGGACAAGGGCTGGTGTGGCTCCCAGTTTGCACCTGTGAAGCCTCCAGCATTGGCCAGCACCTTGCAACGTGGCCAGGAGCAGCAATGGGCCTCCACAGCCTGCAGAGCCAGGGTGGATGGGCAGTCTGAGTGCTCCACATCAGGGAAACTGTCCTTCACCCTGATGGGGTTGGGCTGGCCACCTCACTGCTATCTCATCTGTCCCCATGCCAGGAGGAAGCCACACAGAAGCGATACTGCCTTCTCTCCATAGCAAAGCCACGGCACACACTCGGCATAAGGACAGACGCTTTGACAGACACTGCACTGCCTGTGGGGAGGAATGCCTTCTCCTCCTCTCCATCCCTGGTCTGCAGAGCGCATCCACCCTATGAGTTCTGCCCTGTGTGAGCTACCCACGATGACCCATCTTGGGAAGAATCCAGGTTCAAAATATACCCAAGGGAAGAGGTTTGGCTCTGGGGCCTGGGTCCAGCCCTTCTACATAGGGCACAGCTCAATGTGAGGATAAGCAGTGTTGGGGGTCACCAGCTGGCTCTGTCTGGCCACTGGTCGCCTTGGTATGACAGGTAGATGCTGACATGCACACCCAGTGAACGCTGGACTTCCAGAGGTTTGCAAGGTGGAGGTCAGTAGGGACAAAACCAAGCAGAGCGGACTTGTCTTTCAGAGCTGGGGATGCTTCTGTGTGGGAGGACACTAGGGTCTTGCTGGACACACAAGGAAGGTGTTGAAGGTCACAGAAAAGTGAGGGCAGTGGAGGAACTGCCTCTGGCACTGGATGAAAGGGCAGGTCAGACCTGCCAGAGGATCAGACCAGCACACGCTGGTGGCTGTACCAGCTCCATCCTGGATCAACAGATATACAATTCGTGGGAGGCCTTAAAATCCCAACCCAGTTGCAGCTGAACTCTCTCTGATTTGGAGGAAAGTGGGCAGAGTGCACATGATGATGGCAGCCGCACGCTTGAGCAAGTGCTGTGGCAGTTGGCATGCCCCCAGCATCACAGTGCTACCAGTCTGGGCCTGGGGCATTTGCCTGGACAGCTCCTGGCACATTGTGGGCTGCTCAAACCCTCCAGCTCCAAGAACCTTCTGATGCCTTCATAGGGGTGCTGCACTCAGCTGCTAAATGGCAGCTTTAGACAGGGAGAGAGCACAGACTCAGCCCACCTGTTGTCTTCACACAGAGATCTGGCTTCAGACATGGATTTACATGCAAAGGACAAGAATGTGATGGTCCTGACCCCTTCTCTGTGCAATGAGACACCCAGCACATTGCTGTTGATGTACAAGGAACAAGACTGACCACAAGGAACACGTACACCCGGAAGCAATGCCCCTGTACCTTTCCCCAAAGCTCCCCACCAAGGGCTCCAACTGCTCTGTGACAGCAGGAGAAACCAGCCATGGGGCCGGAGAGGCTGGGCTGGACTGGAGGAGGGCTCAGAGCCCCACAGATGGCACACAGTGCTCACCCTCCTTCATGCTCTGGTTCGCGATGCCCATCCCGCTGCTTAACCCCTGCCTCGCACTGCCGCCCTTGATCGTTGCGCACAGACAGAGAGGAGCAGCACAGAAGGGGCATGTGTGTGCAGATATTCCCATGCAGACATGTGTGAACAGAGATGGGACATGACAGAGGCCCAGGGCGACAGTGAAACAGTTGGGCGAAGCTTGTGGAGCCATTGCTGCCCTGGCGACCTCCACCTTCATACTGAAAGGATGGGCTCCCTGGGGCTGAGATAAGCACACAGGACCTCTGCAAAGGCCTCATCCTGGCATGGGTTATTTCCTGGCCTGTGAGGCAGCTGGCTTATAGCCATCCAAGCCCCGAGCTACTCCAGAGTAATCCCAAGGGGGGGCATAGTGTGGGACTGGGAGTCAACCCCAGTCTGCACCAACTGCATCCCAGAGGTTGGGGTCAGGGCATGAGCCCACCCCATGGCAAGGGGTTTGCCACCCACCATCAGTGCCTCACTGGCATTCGGCATTCTTGGATTTGCCCTTCCCAGGGGAACAGGAATTTTCAAGGGAGACATCCCCACATAGCTGGCAGGACAGTCTCCCGAATTACAGGCACCTTGTTCCTCAGTCCAGTCTGCTGCACAAGAGATGAGGTCCTCAGAGCTAAGGAGGGTTACTGTACCTGGTGACCCACTGCAGGGTCCCAGGCTGGATGCCACCTTTTGCACAGGTGAGGTTGGCCTGGGCTCTGCACCCACCCAGTGGGGTGGGAGGAGCTTGCAGCAGGATAGACCAGCCTTGCAGGTGGCTTCTGGTTGGTGACATGGTGGGACCTTGCGCTCAGAGCAGCCCTGAGCTTCACCCGTTGCTGTGAAGCATCGCTCCGGGCTACCATACCTGTGACCATGACAGAGTGACTTCAGCTGCACCAGCAGTGCTGAGAGGAGGCAAAGCTAGAGGAAGGGGGGGTCTAATATGAATCAGAATTAAGGAGCTGGCCTTGATACTTTGGTAAAACTGCCAGAGAATAGCATGTGCAATTCCTGGAGCACAGTCAGTGCCTTGTTTTGAAGGGGGAAAAAGATGTTTCTCCCCTCAGCTGGCTTCCTTTCTCACTGGGGTGTGTTGGTTCAGCGGGGCTCAGCGCTCCAGCATCTCACCTGGTTGATGCAACTGGACTCGTTGACGCTGTCGGAGATCTGGTTGTATTCTTCCTCCCAGGTTGGGAACTTCGGAGGTAGGAGGATCTCGACAGAGTCCAGGCGGTCCAGGCTCCTGCCAGCAGAGAGAGAGGATGTGAGGGGTGTCTCCACAGCAGGGGCAGCGCTGGGGCTGTGCTGGAGCTGCCGCCCTGCCAGGTGAGCCAGACCACCCCTGCCCACAGCACCCTCTGCCAGGCACAGGCACACGTGGCCGCACAGAGACGATGCTGGGCACCGCATCCACCACTCGGCCCCTGTTGCAGCTCCTGGAGTAGAAGGAAGCACTTTCTCACCTTGCTGGCTCCTGGCTTGAGCTATCGAGTCGGGCACATGGGTGAAGGTTCGTGGGGTGCAGGGGAAGGAGAGGGGACAAGACCTTGGGTCCCGCTGCCCCCAGGAATGCACTGCCGATGCCAGGTTAGTCCAGCTGAACCCCAGGGAGCACATGGGATCTGTGCCAGCCCCCAGAGTCAGAGCCCTGGTGACACACCAGCTCTCGCACAGGCTGATGCTGGGGGCCAGGGTCAGGGAAGCCAGCTCTTCCCTGCCTGGACTAGTGGGAAGGGGGTGCAAGAGGTGGGGTGAGAAATAACTTTTAAATGGTATTTTGTGGACTTTGCAATTGGAAACATCTGCAGGATTTTTTTTTTTTTTTAATTTGTGTAGAGGAACCCAAAAGATTATCTGGAAGAAGTTCAAGGGGAGCCAAGCCTGAATGACAGTGCTGCAGAAGCAGGGGGGTTGGTATTTCCAGAGCAGCTTTTGCTGCAGGCTCTGGGAGAAGCACTGTCTCCATGCCCTGGGGCTCAGCAGCAGCCTCTGCATCAGGAAAAGAGCAGGGCTGTCACTGAGCCCCACCCAGCCAAGACCACACTACGGACTCTGCACATGGGGCCGGGAGGGTTGTGGAAGGATGGGAGGGATGTGAGAGGAAGAGGAGGGAAGTGGGAAGGATGGGACTTTCCCATTCTTCTGTTCCACCATGAAACCCTGCGTGAGGAAGTCCTTGTCACAGACCAGGTGGAACATGGTGGAGGACACAGTAGCCACACCAGCCTGGGCGAGCTGTGGGGACTCTCCCTCTTGAATTGCCCATGGTCCCTTCAGAGGACCCTTGGGGTGCCACTTCCCCTGCATCTGGCAGGGCTGTGAGTGCAGAGGTCTGTCCTTCACCAGCCTGGGGGACAGCGAAGCTGAGGGCAGAGTGTGTCCCAGCTGGGCAGGAGGCCTGTGCAGTGTGTGGACCTCCAGGAAGGACTGTGGCACCTCCTGAGTCTCCATCCTGGGGTGTGATGAGAGTGGGGAGTAGTCTTTTCTGCCAGGGGTGATGGAGGAGACTCCCAGTCTGCAGCGGACCCACTGCTGAGCGGCCAAGGGCAATGTGGTGCCCCAAACCCTGGACTATCTGTTTATTGCCTTGTTTCCCTCTGCCTGAGAGGGTTTTGTCCATGAGCTCGCCGTTCACCCATGGTGTGAGTCAGTTGTGTCCTGGGGCAGGCAGTGTCCCTGTCAGCCCCCCATGCCCATCCCATTGGGCTTCATCCTGACCTAGCCTTGCAGCCTGCCTGTGGGGAAACCGAGTCACAAAGCAGGTAACAGACTTTGGAAAGGCAGACACCCTCTCATAGGGACGGATCGGGTCTCACTCCTCTGTGCCAAGTCCTGGCTAAGGCTCCAACTGTCCTCCCTGCAGTCCCTCCCATCCCAAACCACAGGTCCAATACCCCTCCACTGGCGGAGCCCAGAAAGAGCCCCAGCAGCTCTGGCCAAGGAGACCGAGGATCTTGGCCAGGGCTGGCATGGGGCTGTGCCAGGGCACGGTCCCCCGCTGCTGTCCCAAGGGTGTGCCAGGGCACGGTGCCACCCAGGGAGGCCCCGCAGCAACCAAAGCGGCCACAGCATCCGAAAAGCATCCTTGGGGGAGGGGGTTTGGAGAGGCGAGGGGGTGGTCGGCAGATGGCAGCCGTGCTCATGCTCCGGCTCCGGCTTGGCTGACGCTCCGGCCTGTCCTGGGCCCGGCCCAACCCCTGGCCACCCTGGGGCATCGGGGACGGGCAGAGCAGGGTGCCATGTCCCGCGCTGGAGCGCAGCGCCAAGAGCTGCGGAGCCCCTTCCTTCCCAGGCAGGATACTTCCCTCCAGCAAATCTCCTGCTGGGGACCAAGCACTCGCAGCAATGGCTGCGTCCAGCCCAGCCCTGCCCGGACCCTGCTTCTCCCACATAGCTGCATCCACTGCTCTGCCAGCTCTGCCCCTCTGGCTCAAACACCCTGCCCTGACTTAGCCCCTTCCTCAAAGCTACCTGTCCGTGGGCTCCGCTGGACCCCAGCAGCCCAGGTGAGGGCATACCCTGATGGACATGACCTGAATGAAAAATGAGCCCAAGACAGGAAGAACTCCAGTTCTTGGGTATTTTGCATCAGAGACCCCTGGCCCCAACTCTGCTCCCCCTGAAGTGGATGTGAAGGCAACGAACAGGGATGGATTCAGAGCAGGCATTTCCAGGGCTCCTTGCAGTTAATTTTGTCACCATCTCTCAGCAGAAAGCAGCATCTGGTCTGCAACCTGAAGCCACCATGAGGGGTCTCCACACTGCCTGCTGCACCCCCACTTCCTTCTGGCTCTGTCTGCTGAACATCAGCAGTGCATCCACGGTGGCTCCTGCCTCCTCCTGCCCCTCTGTGCTGCTCACAACCTCCTGAGCTGCAGCATCTGAAACACTGACAGCCTGTTAGGGCCCCTGGGTGCCTTGTCCCAGGAAGCAGAGCAGCTGGTGAAGACATGGCACAGCATCACCTCCAGTCAGGTGGTGACACAGACCCCATCCTGCAAGGTCCAGCCTCTTGCCCAGTAAGCTTTTGCTGTGTTCCTCTTGCTCTGCTGTCTATCTGGCTCAAGCCACTGTGGGTCTTCCTCAATACCTGGTCCCAGACCTCTTTGCTCATCTCTCCTGGCCTCAGGATATTACCCAGCCTAGCGTGCCAACAGGGCACATTCTGGCTGGTCTCAGAGAGTCGCTGGGACACCTGTGGAGCAAAGCAGATGGCATAGTCCCAGCAGCCCATGGGCTGCATGCCAAGTGTTCTCAGCCATGCCAGCTGAGCATCTTCCATGTCTAAATAGCATCATGGGGTTGGGATCTCTGCACTCCCTTGGAGGAGCAGATGCTTAGAGAGGAAATACAGAGCTCCATCAAAGGAGTGCCCTGCCCATCACTGAGGGAACAGGGACCTGGAGCAGGGTCCTACCACCAGGGCTATTTGGAGTCACCAGGATAGGAAGCTCTCTCCATTCCTCTGCCACATGTCCTGTCCTGCTTGTCTCCTCATCTGCCTGCCCTGTGGGCAATCTGAGCTGATGTGCAGGAGCCCTGCTGTGCTCTGATCCCCACATGGGGTCTCCATGTGGGTGCTGCTGGCTAGACCCCAAGGACTGCTTCTGGGATGGCCCCTGGGGACCTGCGCAGAGCTTGTGGAGGAGCTCCAGCGTTACCTTTGTGTGGTGTTCTGCTCACTCAGGGACTGTTGGGTGGCCTTGAGGTAACTCTGCCTCCGAGCTGCAGTTTTCGGGGATGGTTTGGGGCTGGTTTCTGAGTCTTCACTATCATCATCCCCCATGGCTTTGATGTAACTCCCGCTCCGCATGCGCCGGCACGGGATCTCGCTGTCTTTGTCCCGAGACAGCGTGTTGTTCCACTCCCCCTGAGGCACCTGCAAAAGTAAGGGGAGCATGAGCAGCTGTGAGGGATGGCAGCTCTGGGCCCAGAGGGATCATGGGGACTTGGAGGGATTGGTGGCAAGGACAACCATTGGACCCTCAGCTGGAGTGTAGTGGGAACGGGCAACGCAATTCCTTTCCGACCCTCCCTTACTAGTTCATGCCAGGCTGCCCTACATTTGATTGCCTCTGTTTTAGCACATCTACCCAGAGCCATTCACCCCCCACCACTGCAGACCACCTTCACACTGGACCATGCTTACACAGTTGATAAAAGCTGCACATTGCCAGACATAATGGGGAGGGAAGAGTCTCACGAGATTTGCGCTGGACATTGGGACAGGAGTGGCACACAGTTGTTCAACACAAAGACCAAGCTCATTTAGCGTAAAGTGCACATACTGTTCAGGCCAAGGCAATCAAGAGCTATTGTAGACAGGGACCTGTGGATCAGAGCCCAGACCTTCACTAGGTCCAACACCCTTTAAGGTTTCTGAGTTGAATGTGACTCTTAGTGTCTGAAATTAATTTCTGAAGCCAAGCCAGGCCCTCACAAGTCCCTCTAGAACTGCTCGGGCACACTGACCTTGTGCTGGCCTTTCTGCACAGAGATGAGTAGTACCTTGTGCAAGAAAAGCACTTCTAAATTCACTGACATGACAACTCTGCAACTAATTTAAGGCAGACATAGTCTCTTGGTCCTTCATTAGAGATGGGCAAGCTGATGTTTCCACTAGAGGCCTGAAGCACTGAGCAACTGAAGTAATCAACACCACTGCCTGCCTGTCCTGTGAAAGGTTTGTATAGGTGATTGGAGGTGCTCGGCCAGCAGCAGAGCCAGATGTCAGCCCTGGACTGATCAGGACAAGAGACATACGTAGTGTGGGACAGGCCAGGAGAAAGATGGGGCAACCTGAGTTGCCAAGAGCAAGCCTTGGTTTCATGGCTAACTTGGTTTGTAGCTGGCCTTTGACCTGCCCTTGAGCTGAGGAGACGTGGTCAAGGAGAAGCAAGGGAAGATGTGAGGAATGCAGCAATGTGCAAACCATGCAGACACCAGGACAGCCTGAGGCCCCCCAGTCTGCTGTGGGAAGCAGGCTGGTTGGGGAACACCATGGGGAGCAGTAAAGGGTCTTGTGCTGAGCGCAGCTCATGCTGCTGAGGACATCGATGTTGACTCTGCTGGATGGATCTGTTGGATTTGCCCAGCTCCCCAGGGAGCTGTGGGATTAATCAGCCAGTGTTTATATAGTGCTTTGGGGATGCACAGAGCTGTGTTGCAGCTAACTGTGATGAGCCAGAGCTGTTAAGCGCTGCGTGGTTCCTGTTCCCTTCCTTGTTCAAAGCAGGCATGCTCTGTGGGAGCCATAGCTGGCTTGAGGGTGCTGTCTGCTGCTGCTGGGGTGCAACATCTTCAGATGAGCTTCAGATCTGCAGGTAGTGGCTTCTCATTCTCCTGAGAGGGCCTGGGATGTGCCAGATACAGGCTCAATCCACACGCAACAGCTTAGCTCACTCCAAGGGCTTTCTTCTGCTCAAAGGAACCAGGGGTTCAGCCCATGTCCTGCCAGCCTGCTGCTTGCTCTGTGTGTTTGGGAGAAGGCAAGGGGTGATCCCAGCGCTATGTGGAGCAGAACCCAAACAGCCTGTGGGACTGCTTTGGTGATAGGGCTCCCACCATGATGTGTGCTCATGAGCCAGGACCCATATTACTGGGGGACATGCAACAGAGAGCCAGGGGCATCATGTTGTCTGTATGCAAGATCCAAGTGGGGACTGATGTGAAGCGAGTCTCACAGGTGAGACACAAACTTGGCCAGGCCTCCCTGGCCCTGCTCACTGCTGCTGCAGGTTTTCCCAGCTCTTACCACTCTGCCTCCTGCAAGCTTCGTGCTTGGCAATGGCTTCTAGGCTGGCTGCTTACAAGACCGCCCAGCTCAGGAGCTACTGGGTATTACCTTGCAGGTTTCTACAAAAGTAAGAGAAGAGAGCCCTTTCTTTCCTGGGTGGGAGCACTCCCTCTGCCCCAGCTCAGCTGCCTGCACTGCGTGGCCCTGAGGCCAGTTAGGAGGGACCCTGTTGGCTCCAGCTGAGTCCTGCTATGGGAGACATTCCACAGGTCACTGGGGTGGCTGGCTCTGACCTTTCCTAAAGGAGACAGGGCCCCTGAGAAGCACTTTTATACCCATTGCTTTGGCGTCAGGTCTGACTTGAGACTGCATTTTGCTGCCTGCCTTCTTCTCAGGATGAATCACAGCCTCCTGCCTGCAAGGGTCTTGGGCCAGCGAGGTGTCAGAGAGGGCTGGAGTCTGCAGCCCCTGGCTAAGGAGGTGAGAGCTTGCCAGCAGCCAGGCATGCCAAGCAGGGGCCAGGGGACTACACAGCCATCCCCTATGCAGAGGTAAATGCTGTATTTTGTGGGGCAGTGAGAGGTGCTGGGCTCAGCCCAGTGAGCCCAAGGACAGAGGAAGCATTAATCATAGAATGGTTTGGGTTGGAAGGGACCTTAAAGAACACCTAGTTCCAACCCCACTGCCATGGGCAGGGACACCTTCCACTAGACCAGGTTGCTCAGTTAAGACCCCAGGCTATTGCAGCTGCTCTGCTGCTGCTGCTTGAGGGCAGGGTCTGGGACTTGCTCAGCTCTGCGTGGGCTTGTGCATCTGCCTCCTAGCCTTGGGCACTCTCGGCTCTAGGCAAAGCAACACAAAGACCGTTTTCAGTATGTCTCTGCTGGTGCAGCTTGTCTACAGCAGAGTGAGCCAAGCATCCCCAGCACTGCCTGCCTCATATGGACCCTGCCCCTCTCCTAGGCACAGCCTCCACCAGCTTCCCTGTAGGATTGTGACAGCCTCGCGTGTCCTAACTGAGCTGCCTTAGTTCTCCTTTCCCATGCTTCTCCTCTACTTTGCGTCTTGGCAAGACTGCAATAAACAAAGCTGTTCTCAAGGTGCTCCACATTCCAGTTTAGCAGCATCAAGGGGAAGGAAGATGCCTAGCAGGACACCCTTTGAATCTGGTGCCCCAGTTTGGAGCGTGTCCTGCCTCTGTTGGCACAGAGTCCACAGGGACTCCCACAGCTCTTGCTCCCATGGGACAGAGCGCAGGGCAAGTGTTTCAAAAGTGCCACACCTGAAAAGACAAGTAGGTGCTCTTGGGGATCTTCAAAAGCAGTGCAGGTACTTGAGGCGCAGTTCTGGATCCTCCAGAGTGCTTCTGTGCACCTTCAGGCACCTGAGGATGTGAGGAGCTGTCCCACAGTCTCTGAAGCTCTGCCATAGGGGTGAAGAACTCAAAGCACCTCCTGTTGTCAATGGTGGCCAGTGCAGCACCTCAATGGCAGCAACTTTCCTGGCAGCTGAGACCCTGGGCTCTGATCACAACATGTGTATTACAGAAAGTGGAAATGAGGGCTGCCTTGTATTGCACCTAGGCCTGGCACAGAGAAGCTCTTCATACTGCTCTCCCAGATGTAGACTTGGCTCTGCCCATGCTGGTTTGGTTGGTGTGAAAGGGGCGGGAGCAAGAGGACACCGAGGTCAAGAGCCTTTATCGGTGGCTGCTGGCACAGAAGGCCTGGGGATCCACCCTGCCCAGTGGCTGCCCAGGTGGGGAGGAGTGGACGGCAGAGATGCTCTGCCAGGCTTCAGGATGCGGATCCTCCTTTCTGCCCGGGCTTGGTCCATACAGTGCCCTGTGGGGCAGGCATGTGGGATCCAGGCATATGTCTGTCCCTGGGGAACTGGGCTCCACTGGCACCATCCTGCCACAATACTGCATGTTGCAAGGAAGCAATGCCTTCTGGCTCTTCTGCTCTCCATGTCATGAGCTGAGCGTGGAGGAAAAAGGAAAGAAGGGGCTACACACAGTTTTCCCCCTGCCTTAATTCTGCCTGGGGCATTCCTCAGTTACCTGGAGCATTAACAGAGGGGAGAGAGGAGGGAAGGGGAAAACTCCAATCCTGGGTGCTGGGCAGGGGCAAAAGAGCTTCACTGCTCCCATCGCTTTGGTGAGGTCTGGGAAAGAGAGACTTGCAGAGCAAACAGCAAACAGGGTTTCCATTTGCACGTGTGCCAGCTCTGACATGCAACCCAGTCCCATCACACACAGACATGCACCACACATGAATGCACCTGCTGAGGCACCCACAGGGCTGGACGCAGAGTGCAGGGATGCACGTGCCATGCAGCCAGGCTCCAATACAGAGACTGAGCCCAATGTGGGTACACTGCTGCTCCCTCCAGAGCCAGATCCCTTGTGGTGTCCCGAGGGCTATGTGTGGTCTCAGGCATGTCCTCAAGAAAGAAAGCTGGAGCCCAGGCTGCTGATGGACCCCATTTGTCCTTTTGGCAGGGCACCCTCTGGGAAGGACCTGGGCCAGATTTCCTGCCCCATGGGAGCTCTTGTGGGGCTGGCATGAGGGCAGCCAGCATCTGCAGAGTGGCTGGCACTGAACAGGCCACCCACCCTGGATTACGAATTTATTTTTGGGGCTGCTGGGGGTTAAGAAAGCTTCGGTGTGGTCTCACTATAAGTGTGGTTGGGGAGGCTAATCTGGATCATGCATCAGGCTAATGGTGCCTGTGGTATGATTCTGTCCCCTGGGAGCCCCACCACTGCCCATCCCTTTGATGTGGTCTTGATATCCATGGATATGGGGCTGACTCTGTGTCTGGGGCAGAAATGCTGCTCAGCCCTGCCTGCTCCTGTTCACCCCTGGCCTGTGGTATCTCTTACTCCAAGGAGCTCCTTGGCCATTGGCATCCTGACACCTCAGCCTCCTCCCCTGCACTGCCAGCCGCATGTGGGGCCCATGGGGAGGGGAAAAGAGAGGACAGGGAGCACAGCCTTCCTCCCTGGGGACTGTGCTCTAAGGACAGTGCTGTGTTGCCTTGAGGACTGCTCCTGAGAAACCCCCCACCCTGACAGGACAGGGCTGGACGTGTGGCTGGGTGATCACCCACTCTCAGCTCCAACGTCTGAGGCTGGGGATGGGTCTGGAAACATGACATGGATCTCCAGTAGTCCCTGATGAGCCCCAAGACTACCCGGAGCCTGCAAATGGGGCAGGGGAGGTGAATAGCCTTGGGAGCTTATCCCAGCCCAGAGGCTGGGCGGTCCTGTTTGTCCCCATCCCACTCCTCCTGTCCTCCCTCATGTCAGAGAGGAACTTCTCCACCTCTGGGACCCACCAGGCATTTCTGCCTTGCAGGAGCCCTGTCCACAGCAGGGCAGGGCCTCCATGCTCCCCAAGCACCGGGCTCTGTGGGCAGGCAGATGCACGCCGTCCCTCACCATGGCACAAGCAGGGAGTGGGCTCAACCTGCTCCAGGGAGGAGCACATGGCAGGGGAACATGTGGCCTTGCAAAAGGATGTTTTCCACACTCCAGGCTCCAGAGGTGACTTCTCCATTGCCAGCATAGTCCCCTTCCCATGCTGAGGAGGGGTCTGGATACAATCACCCCATCTTACCCCAAGGGCCCCAAGCCCTGTGCCCTGCCCTCCAGGGCTCACACCGGGCATCTGAGGGCAAGGTCAGCCTGAGCATCTGTGACCTGTCAGCTTGCATGGGCACTGAACATCATGTTTTCTGGACTGGGTGCCCAGGGTCTTGGCTTTGCTGGTGAGATGCTGCCGCCGGCCGTGGGGGCTGCCCCAGGTGCTTGGGATGCCGGTCACACACCAGCATCCCCCAGTGCCCCTCCAGCCATGCTGACAGTGGCTGCTGGCTGCTCCCTACCCAGGCTGCTCCCGCTCCGAGTGGTGGCACAGGCTGCCGACCCCATCCGATGGTCCCAGGAGGGTCAGGGCAGGGAGGGAGCTGGGCAAAAGCTTCCCCTCAAAACAAGATCCCTACCTGGCCGCTGCCTGCGTCGGTTGGCCCAGGGCTGAGGGGCTGGTCCCACCTTCGCGGGGGCTCGCTCGGCTGCAGCGGGGCGGCACCCGTGTCCTCCCAGCCGAGCGGTGGGGCTGCCCAGCTGCTGGCTGGGCTCACGCCACCCAGCTGTGCCCACAGCCCTCCGTCAGGCTGTCGAGAAACGGAGGCTCATTACATGGGTGGGGAATAATGAGCAGGGCAGTCTCGTACCCCTGGCCGTGGCCAAACCCCAGGAGGTGAGGGGCTGTTGGGGTTGCATTCGGCACCCAAGGCTGCCTGAGCTGGGCTCTGCTGCCACACCCGGAGAGGGAACAGTGCCAGCGATATTTTGCCTGCAGCTCTTTAACCTCCTAACACTTAACTGAAAGGAGGGGGGCAAAGAAAAAGAAACCAGGCCGAGAACATTTTTTCTGATGACATCCCTGATGCAATAAATCCCTCTGAAATTTGATTTGCAGCTGTGGCAAGCAAGGTATTGGAAGTGGAGTGTGCTTCAATAATTCATTGCTCTTTAAAGCTTCTAAGCCCACTGGCCACAGCCAGGGGAGCCCATGACACCTTTGCATTAAAAAGGATGCTGGAGATTTACATACATAGACTGGTCCCCTCCTCCCCCCATCTAGGCCTGGCTTATTTATCTTCATTCCTCTGTCTAGGGCCTCTGTCTAGGGCACAACCAGTTTTATGTTCTTCAAGCGCCACTTTTTGAAACTGCCACAGTGACCTGGCGCTTTTGGTGATGGAGGGAGTTCAAACCAGCATTAGCCATGCAGGCTTCTGCCATGCAAGCGGGGCGGCTGGCACTGCCCTCCTGGTCCCACAGCCCTGCCCTGCAGGTGGGTGAGCAGCTAAGGCAGCCATGCCCCATGGAGCTGCAGGTCCTACCAGTGCTCCGGGGAAGCTCTGTAGAGTGGGGCTTGCTGGGCACGCCGGCACATCCTTGCAATGTGTGGATATAAAGGGTTAAGCATTAGTTATCACTGGTGACCTTTAGACTGTGGGGTGGTGGCAGTGCTTGGCCAGAGGCAGGGAAGCTGTGTCCGGGTGGGATATGAGCCGCAGCCCATCGGCATGCCCGCTGCCTGGGCGCCAAGCGGAAACAGCTACGTGTGGGCAGCTACCTGCCTGGCTGCCCAAGAGTCCACCCCAGCACAGCATCTGTGGGGTCTGGGATGGCAGCGGGGGCATGCTGGGGTCCTGCAGCAAATGGGGATCACAGCAGAGGCTGCCGAGGCTGTGGCATGGGCACATCACCTCCTCCTCATGCTGCCATGGTCCAGCACAGGGGCTGGGGGGTCCTGGGGCAGCGCTGCAGCTGGGGGATCTGTACCAGTGTCCCTGTGGGAAGTGTGGTGGTCTGTCCCTGGGGCCTTGGTGAATTTCACACCCCCAGCCCTCTCCTGGCAATGTGACTTGAGATAGCAGCTGAACCATCAGGAGCTGTTTGATAAGATCTATGGCGCAATAGGGTGTCTACTGGGAGGGTGTCCCCTGTCTTCCTGCGCTCTCCCTGCATGGGCCATAACCCACCGCTGCACCCACCTGCAGGTAGTGGTAGGCCAAGTCTTGATGGCAGGACTTGGATTTCAGCAGTGCTTTGTCGATCGTGGCGGAGGCCTTCTGGCACACTTCCCGGGCATGGCTGAGTGTCAGCGTGGACCAGGAGCCTCTCTTAATGTAGTTGGAGTCATTGTTGATGGGGATATTGGTGCAAGGGGTGACCTTGAGGTCATTATTGCTCTTGGAGGATTTCAGCATGTGCTCGCTGATGGTATTGTAAGCGTGCATGAAATACTTCGGCTGGCTGTGGTCCGGCTGCCGGCCCAGTGTCATGAGGCCCATTGGGTTGCGGTAGCTGCAGGTATCACTATCTAAGTTGTCATCTGAGCTCCACCAGCCTGATATGTTGGATCTGGTCCTGCGCTTGGGCTCGGAGGTCTTCGCTCGGTCTTTGCTCTTGCTCCTCCGGTTTTGCTTGGGGTCATCTGCCCCCTTCTTGCCATTCATGTTGCCTTTGGTGGGGCCCTCCAGAGACTGGGACTTTGCAAATAGCTTCTGGACAGAGTGGACAAGGTGCCGGATGCGCCCAGGGCTCTCACTCCGGTGCTTTGCATCGCTCCTCTGAAACTGGAGGGTGCTGAAGCCGTCTCTGTGGATAGGCAGCTGCTTCTCAAACTGGTCAAGGAGGTTTGCAGGCAGGCGGTTGATTTTAGTGGCTTGGGCATGGCTTGGAAAAGGGTTGTCATCTGGGACCTCAAAGTGGGAGTTGTAATGGATGCGGGGGAAAGTGCTGCTGTTGGAGATCTGGTTGTTGAGTGGAAGGAGACAGTCGCCATGGAGGGTATTCTGGGCTGGGAATCGGGGGTCCATGGTAAAGGAGTCAGTGGGGCTGAGGAGATAAGGGTTCCTGTCCTGGGGGGCATAAAGAGAGTCTTGAGGGGAGTCCAGGTTATCGGAGAGGTGTCGGCTTCTGTTATCTCCTAAGCCCTTCATGGTCCCAGTGTTTCCTAGACCATCACTCAGAGGTGGTGCGGCAGAGCCTTGCAGGAGCGCCGATCCTGCTCCCCCGCAGACTTCCCTACACCTGGAGGAAGAGGACAGATGCTCAGAGCCTGCCGAGTACCTCTTTGGCAGCCCACTCCTCACTGGGGTGTCCTTGCGAGGGCTGTCCCAGCTCTAAAAGCAAATGCCACCAAGGTTAAGGGATGAAGGAGAGAAGCAGAATGGGAGAGAGATGACATGGCAGGAGGGAGGAGAAGGGGCAGGAGACCAGGGGCTGGAAAGAACAGTGTACAGGAGAGGAGGAGGGGAAGGATTCATTCTTTCGAGCTGCAGTTTAAGTGCTTGTGTATCTCTGTGCTCAACCACAGGCTGCTCTAATAATGCTGCTGCTATTTTTCTGGTCTCTGCACATGTTTATTTAATAGAGTCCCTTCCCCAGCCACCATAACAAAGGCTAGCAGGGGCACTGCCAGCAAATCACTGCTCCTGTCCCATTTGTTCAGGGGACTGGAGAAAAACCTGCTGCCAAACACGGCACACGGGCCTTGCCTGAGCCAAGGGAAGTCTGGAGCTGAGCATCCCATCTTCTGCATTATGCTTTGTGTTTCTGTGGTTACTGGATCTTGGAAGGGGACTGGCAGCCCTGGTCTGTGTGTTGAGTACAGCTGCGCTAATGTGATATGATGTCAAACGTCTCCTCTTCAACAAGTGCCCTTGTTTATGGCATGTTTTACCCTGGAGGAAATTGTTTCAGTAGCTACGATGAGAGCAGAGGTGTTTCTGAACACTCAGAGCCTGACCTGAGAAGCTGGTTGCTGCCCAGTTGATCTTTCCTGCCTTGCTGCATCGCTCCTGGGGGAGCTGTGTCACCCTCTGAGCCTGGCTGGCTGTCCCTTGCTACGGTCCTCCTCTGCCACAGCAAGCTGGCTGTGAGGCTGAGGTTGGACATCTGTGGCCCATTCAGCAGGTACAGGCATCCCTGCAGGGTCGTGGAGGGGGCACCTGGACACAGACGGTCCCCTTAGGGCAGGGTAGCTTCTCGCTGAAGACTTCTCTAGTGCACTTACCCCGTCCTGCTTGGCTCGGAGGGATCCTTATCTGCACTGGGTTATACAGGGAAAAAAGACAAACTTTTTGAGGCTGCTTAAAAAAAAATCAATGAACATATAGATGAGTTGTCAATCAATGAGTTGATTTTCCATACTTAAAACCTCTTTGAAATCATGTAGTGCATAAACTTATTCTCATTTCCTTTTACCTTTTAGTTTAGTTTCTTATTTCCTTTTTGCCTTAGTTTGAGTGTCACTTAAAGGCAACTAGCAAACAGTGAAGCATCCTATGGGTGCAAAAATCTGGAAAATGAGATCCTAGACTACTTTTTCAAAATCCAGGGCCCCAAAACATGTACAAGTAGCTGAACAGCTGCTCCTTGGTAAGATGAAGGGGCTGCTCTGGCAGCTGGGACATCAGGAGTCTGTGCAGAAGAGCCATTTTCCAACACTAGGATGATCCAATGTTCCCCAACATGCACCTGGAAGGGGAAATAGTGCCTGGACCCTCAGAGCCTTCAGTGAGTTTGTGAGAAACAAAACTATCATTTGCTTATTCCTAGAGGTAGTAGGATAATGGTGTGACCTTGCGAGAAGCAGAGCTGGTAGTCTGGGCTCCTGGGTTCTCCCTGTTCAGCCACAAATTTGACTCTAGTCTCTCCAGGAAGCTTGTCCTGCATGGAGTCTAGTCAGCAAAAGCAGCTAGGACTGAACTGGTGTGGGGAGCGGAGTCAGTAGTCACTGGAGGATGATAGGAATTGACAGGCTTGTTTTCCCTCCTCACACAGGGAAAAATGTATTAATAATGCAAAGCAGCTGGGGCTTTAAATAGTTGTTTGGAAGCACGAAAAGAAGAAGTGCAATGTATTCCATGGCTTGATGGTTCTTAAAAATTCTCCATCTAACTCTCTTGTTCCCAGCAGGTTGGCAAAGCAAAGCTGGTCTTTCTAAAGCAGTGGTATGCAAACAGCAGGCGAGTGCAGCCTGGGCTCCCGGCCCCGCTCTGACAGAGACTCCCACTCCCCCTCTGGCAAATCCCACTCTCGGGGGTCCTACCAGCTGTCCGGTGGTGAACTCAGCTGAGCGCACTTCTAGGCATTGCCAGCTGCCTGCCAGCACTCACGTGAACCCGCATGGCTCTTCTCCCCAGGGGATCCTGCGGCTGCACACAAGGCTTGCTCAGTCCTGTCCCACCTCTCCTGAAACCCACCTGGAGAAGCTGTACGGCCCCATGGGGTGGGTCTTCTAGACCTGCTGCTGACCTGGGCCCTGCAGCTGGTCCAGCTGCCTTCACCTGCAACCTGGTGCCCTGCCACATGGCCTGGGCTTCGGTGGTGTGGGAGAGATGATGTGATCCTCAGGCCTGTCCACCACATGGATAGTGCCCATGCGTTTTGAGTATGAGGACATGGTTGTCATCCTGGCCTGAGCTGGGGGAACTTTGATACCAAACCTGCCCTTCTTGCCAAAACACCCAATGCAACATTAGCCTTGACTGGTGACCAGCTGCTCATGGTCCCTGTGGGTGCCATCCTTTTTCTGTTGTGCTCTTCAGCAGCTAGGTGCATCAGCCTCTCTGGAGTCCCTTGCCCAGGGGACAGCACCCATGTGAGCTGGTGGAGCAGCAGTGGGTGCTGACTGGAGAAGTGCCACAGAAGAAAGGCTCATGGATGTGCCAGGCAGCCTTGCTCCTGCTTTGTGCAAGCTGGCATCAGCACAGTAGTTGAAGACTGGTGACAAAAAGCCCCAGGAGATGTTCTCAAAGGAAACCCTCTGGACAGAAGAGAAGGACAGGGTGTAGAAAGACAGGCTCCAGTCTGAGCTATCCATGTGGACATTTAAATTCCAGATGGCCATGAATGGGCAAGCTCAACCCTGCCTGACTTGGAGGGGAAGCCCTGCAGGCAGCAGGGAGCCTAAATCCTCCCTGAATAACACCCTGATCTGCCTAGGCTCAGCTCTGCCTGCCATGACCTCCCTTCCTTCCATGCCCCAGCTCTGGACTCCCAGCAAGGTCCTTCACTCAGGCTCATCTGCCCAAGGCCTTGCTGGCTCTGATGGAAACTGTGCATCATGCGCTACAGGAGTCAGACGGTCCCTATGGAGACAACACAGCGCTGATTTGATTATAATGGGATGTCTCTGGATATTGATATTAAATACATCTTTTCCTAGAAAGGACAATCAATATTTGAAGCAGAAATCTCCCAGGCATTCCTGAGACTTCAGCCCTGTGACTGCTTCACCACAAAGCACATCAGCATCACTGCTTTTGTGTTCACTGGGCTCCAGAATAAAGTAAACCTGCCTTAGGACTCAAAATACATAGGGAAATGAAATTAAATTAAATAAATGAAGTGAAAATAAATGAAATGCAATGAAAGCTTGGCTTTCAAGGGAAGAGCAGGGCTGGGGGCCAGGCTGGCTCAGGACAGCTCAAGAAGCAGAGGGGCAGGGAGGAGTGACTGAGGGGCTGTGGGGACAAGTGGGAAGGGAGGAAAAGTGAAGTTTGGTGGGGGGGCTGGAGGGGTGGGAGCAGAAGGGATGGGAAGGCAGGGAGCAGGGGAGGGCAGGGAGCTCCCTCTCTCCCGGGCTGATGTGCTCTTGCCAAGGGCAGACACTCACTTCTATATGGCAAATAGTTTATTGCTCCCTTTTCCTCCTGTGGGCTCTTGCAGGGCTGCCAAAAGGTCCTAGTCCTCCTGCCTGTCCTGCTTGCCCTGGGCATCTCTTCACGTGATGGCCAGCCACAGTGTGGGGCACCAGCCTTGCTGCTGGGCATGTGTCAGGTCAGGGCTGGTGGGGCAGTCAGGACTCCCCTAGCCCCTGGTGCCCACCATGCTGTGTTGGCTGCAGCCTCTGTGTGTTGGTTTCCCTTTAAGATGGATTAAACTGTTTTCATTACATTTCAATTACTCTCTGCAATCCTTGGCACTTTCTTGAGACATGGGGTCAGGGAAGGGAAAAACCCAACAAGCCTCTTTCCTGCCATCTTTTTAATTTGGAAGGATGAAAAAGCTTGAAATTAAATCCCACAAATCCACGATTCTGCAGCTCACAAACTGGGCAAGGTTTGTCTCCCAGGACAGCTGTCTGGTGCCCCTGCTGTGTCCTCCTGCCCTGAGTCAGGCATCACAGCAAGGAGGTGGGCGGCCCCCAACCACAGGGAGGGCACCCAGAGTGGTCAGCAGGAGAAGACCCTGGTTAGCAGATGGTCATAGCCGGGGCTGCCAAGGCATTGAGAGGCTACACCCCTGAGCCCAGGGGAAGGGGCTGGTTTTGCTGCGTGGCTCCATTACCTTCCTTCCCCTCAGCTTGTGTTTTTTTGGGGTTGCCTTTCCTCTTCCCAGTGGCTTTGCTGATGCTCAGAGGTCTCTGAGGTGCAGCAGATGACCTGACCTGATTTATGGCAGTTTTGTGTGTCCCAAACCAACTAGCTGGATTCAGCTTCCTCTCAGGCACGGTTTACAACAGCAGCACTGGAGCTGCCTGTTTGCAGGCTCAGACTGACTGCACTGAATTCACTTACTTACAGCAGCACCTCCTGCAAAATACATCTGCAGCTCCAGACACCAAGCAGTGTATGAAATCTCAAATCATGCAGAAGATGATAGCCTTGCTTGAAGAAGCTTCCTGCTCAGCAGGGACTCCTCTCCTCCCCTGGCTGAGCGCTGCCAATGCTTCCCTCCTGTAGGACCCACAGCTGCTGTGCTTGTCTACTGTGAGTGGGAGATGGGGCTGGTCCAGGGGCTGCCGACGCTGGTGGGAGATTGTTCACTCCACTTCAGGAAGACTGAATCACATCTTCATTGTGAGCTGAAAAGCCTCTGTTGTTGTAAAGAGATATTTCAAGGACTGCAAATATTTGCTTTTCTGGCTCTTTTTAACAGCAAAGAGATTAGGCTGGCCTGAACTCTGGGCAGAGCAGAAGGTAACTGAAAG